TCTTTATTGCAATACAAGCATATATTTAATCAAAAACAAATACATATATTTTACAACTATAGCATACTGCGTATAGACCTAGTTGTGAAAAACAATAACACAGGTATACAGTTCAATTGTCTTACTGTTATGTAGGTATAGCTTGGTATACGTGTATAAATTATAGCGGGACGCGAGGATTACAAAACGAAAAAAACCGAATCCTGTGATCGCTATCGAAAAGAAATCTCATTGTATTTATCATCGTAATAATATATATTATTAATATTTAATATTATAGACAAATATGTAAAGCATGTAAAACGCTCCGGAACGGTTTGAAATTGTTGAGTAATAACAACACTTAATTTACTCATCCCTATCGAATTAATCCAATAATGTTCTTAATGTGTACAGGTCTAATAATGTGTCAATTTAATATTATGTTATATTGTTTCCCTAAATTACCAAACTAATTATTACCTTACTAAAAATTGTCTAAACATATCGAAAAAAATAATGCTGAGTGCTAACGGATGTAATTCGTGAGCAACCTGATTCGAAAAAATATCATGATTTTGACAAGAACGGATTAAACTCGAGGTAGGTATGAATGTAGGTATAATAGGCCACCTATTATACCTATCACATCTATTCTGTGGAAGATATAGTATAGTACATCTTATATAGGTATTTAATGGGTAACATGCAGGATCAGCACCAAAAAAATATTGATAGGGGGGGGGGGATATCATAAAAAATTTCAAAAAGGATTTCAATCCAATCCTTATACCATATATTTGTCGACATCAAACAAAAATTCCTTAGGTGTTAATAACATATATGTGTTAATAATCATATAATAACACCATGTTATTATATGATTATTTAAAAATACAAATCACAAAAAGTTTCATTTAAGTCACTTTTGCTCTGCGGTATGCGTCGATATAACCACTTAATAATGTACTATTCTCGTGGGAAACTGTCATAGGAAAAAACACGAAGAATACAATTTAAAAATAAATGAAATGCGTATTATGTTAAAGTGTAATCTACACTAACAAATGCAAAAAAGTAATGTCAATAAGTACTACGAATGGCCTAATACCTAACCTTATATAGTAGGTAAAGATTAAAGGTACCACCGATACCCATAAAGTACCTACGACCTACCTATCGTATAAAACAGGCATATACAGCGTCAACGAAAAAAAAACAATCACTTCGGCCAATTAGTTCCTGCCATCATCACAACATATCGAGCAGTATAATACAAACTATATTATATACACATTACACACGTGCGGTGTTATTATAATATTACGAGATTCTGATGTATCCGTAAAATTATAGAAAGTAAAAAGAAAAACTATCATAATCACAACATCGTACGTTATTGATTTTTGGAAAGCAATTATTATTTTCATACACGCGATATCGACCGTTTAAAATCGGAAAAGTAATAAACTAGTGCTATGTTGTATAGCATCTAGCCATCAACAGGTAGGATTGCTGGAACTATATGAGCTGCGATTAGGTACCATACCTATAATAGTATAGGGCTCGCATTTATATAGATTGGTAAATTATTTTCTAGCCGAGTCCGAATAGGATATCCTATATGGGCGAGAAGAAAGTCGCCAGACAGATCTTTGGATATGTAAAATCTAATATTCTACAGGCGAATAATAATATAATATTACGGTGAGCAGCGTCTTAATCAACGATTTTATATCATTGTTATTATTTGCAGCGAGCCGCGAGAAAGGCGTACATACAGGTACAGACGTACAGCGAACACACCATAGGTATACGCAAATATTATTATTCTTATCGTGTGTACCTACCTATAGGTACTTATTATTACATGTTTCTATACAGCTAGCTGAGTTGTATCTAAGCGCCGCCGGACCGCCTGTGGATTTCGCTCTGCGGTTTTGCGGCACCCGTGTGCTTGTGAGATTAGACAGACTATATAATATATTATATTGTGTGCGAATATAATACCACCTAATCATAAAAGAAAAATTATCGTTTAACGAGCCACGTCGAAGGGACGCCACCACACCGGATAGGCCAATAATAATATAATATATTCATATATGCAGTATACAATATATATATATATATTATACGAATACAACGATTGTACAAAGAAACAACAATGACGATAAATGATAATGTATATAGATGGTATATTATAGAAGTTTATAATTTTATTTATCGTATTGTAGTAAAAATAAGACTCTTATTATAAAAGTTTCTAATTTAATGAGATTTATAATGTGTTCATATGATACGATTATATTATATTATACTATAGATTGAAACGCATTGAACCTATTTCTTATAAATTATACGTAGGTATCCCATTAAAAAAAATAACTGACCGAATGAGTTAGATTATTAAATTAATTAAAAATATTATACTGAAAATTAAATAAATATCTATACAAATAAAAAGTAATATCAACAAATTATAATTACAAATTTCAGTGGTATATTTGCTCGCAGACAAACAACAAATTTCCAAAATATTGAAAAAAATACGAAGTCGTGAGTTGTGACTCATGCCCTCATTATTCATAATAACACTTTAAAATTTCAGCGATAAAAATATAATATCTCACGGACATCATATTATGTCGTTAAATATTAAATTTATAAAATTACAAAATCAGACGCTCCTGCGGTAGTTCACGGAGTATATTATATTTAAATATAGATATATCAGTATTATCAGTATTAATGAGTTTGGCACATTCTACAAAAAAAAAGAATTCGTTCCGTTCCGTTCCGTAGTTCCGTTCCTTGTTTAAAAACAAAGCAAAAAGGAATTCGTTAGCTTGCTTTTTATTATAGTTACATTAATATAATGGTGAAAATAAGGAATAAAAATTCTATAAATAGCTTGTAAATTTATAATATTTCATTTTGACTAAATTACTTAGTAAACTATCATAATTTAAGATTTGAAACTCCTTAGCCATAGAAGCCATGATCTGTTCAAAATTTCAAATATTTAAATTCATGGTTATGTATCTGCATCTTAACTCAGGTGGATGGTTACAATTATGATTTTTAATTAAGTTTTCACACTAAAACTTATTTTATTATACTGCGATAACTACCCACAGTACAATTTTGAACGAATGACAAATGTAAGAAATTATTTAATTCCATTAACCGTCCTTTTTTTTTTTATCAAATAAATTCGTGAATGTCTTATCTGAAGGCATAATAAAATATAATAATAATCAAATAAAGAAACTGTTTTTAGCAAATGGTGACTCTCGTGGGCTCGTTATTAGAAAGTTAAGAGTGGAATTTATCATTAAATCTGAAATGAACAAAATAATATTATTATTTATTATGGTCATATTATTAAACCTTATGCAAATACAATGTCATCTAAACAAACTAAAGATTCGAATAGTTTTAAATTATTTTATTAGATAAAACATAATATGTTATTATAAAAATATTTCCGAAACCTTTTCATTCAAATCTATGAAAGTATTTGTGGGAAAAATATTCGAATAATTGTAAATAATATATTCAAATAATATAATACTAAAAATGATCTAAATAAAAAGTGACCAACTCTGTTGTATAAAATCATATTATTTATAGCTTCCGTCACTCGCTGTTTTTTCGTTAATTGTTCGTAGAATAGAAATTTTGTAATGATAATGTATACCTGCTGTTTTATAAAAATTATCAAGGCTGGAGTTGAAATTTAAATCTAGAGAGGGCCGTATAATGCGCCTGGATATGACATGGTATTCATCCTAAAAATCGTAGAAAGCTTGGGACATAGATCCGTAATAATATATAAAAAGGTCCTTAGCCTATACCTACCTACAACAGCGTTTATAAAGAGGAGACCTCCTAATTTTGTACGACCGTCAAAATCTCACATTTTGTTCAAATATATTCATTTTATTTGAATTTGACCATCGGGTAATCGGGACTAATTTGCAGGTTTTGCGTGATTGTAGCATTAAAATAATTATATATATAAGTTTCACGTCAGTACGGACGTTATATTATGCGTGTTTGTAAAAAAAAAAACGATATACTTCCGATATTAACTTGTCGTTTGCGTGGTACGAGAGAAAAATGAATTGAAAGTCGAACAGGTTGGATACTATAATATAGGGTATTTGACAGAAGAAATCTTTCGTGTATAAGTAATCAGCCGACAGCTTATACGATTTTAATTATAGGCGATTAGCCCGATGACGAGACGGAAAAGAATAATAGCTCACAATTTATACAATGGCGTCCGTATTCGTAATTTGTGCCATGTGAACACAGGGGACATCCCGGTCTGATAATCCACGAGATTTATCAATTTATCAATTATTTTCTTGTAGTACCTACGGATGAAGCGTATAGCTGCAACCTCTTGTGTACGCGACACTGACAAAATCGCAGCAACCACTAAACGAAAGAAGCAAAGTGATCATATACTATGCAATATAAATATAATAGGCCATAATATTATTGTAGTGTTCCTTTTTTTAATTTCTGATTTTTTTAATTTTGCATGCAGTTATTTAGAATTTTAAATTAAATACGGAATAAGCGCTTCATTGGTCATATATTATGAATCGATACTGCAATTTAGACCATTTTAGTATTGGTAATCACAATTCAAGTACCTGTTTATTAGTGTTTAAAATTTTGAATTTTTGATCTAAAGTCAAAATTAAAAATGTCACTATACAATATTATGTGACTAAAATCCAACATATACAAAGCGCAGTTAAAATCATTTTGAATGCATGTCGTACAAATTTGGGACTCCCATAATAAATATTAACATAATCTGCAAAAATCAAAATACAAAACCTAACTCAAAACAAATTAATTAACCTACTCTGTAACAAATAGTAAAATAAATTACTCGATCCATTTGTCCAAGTGTATACTGTTATTATTTCGAAAAGTTTTAACTTTTTTGTAAATATTGTTTTTCTTTGATTTGATATCATTTCAAAACAATATTTCAAAATAAAAAATATTTTTTATTTTTTCAAAAATGTTGTTAAAAATCAATGTTTATAGACTGCTGGATTAGGTTTTCGCTTTTTTCGATTTTTTTGATTTTTTCGATTTTTTTGACTTTTTCGATTTTTTGCGTTTATTTTTCTTGACGGGCGGCGGCGGCGGCAATAGTATCGTCGAAAAGTCCGTTTCAAAACACTGCGAGCAACCGTCCTTGTACACCAGGGGCGCGATCATCCGGCATGGGTCTACCCGGCCCACGTTCACGACGAACAAATCCGCATCGTCGACGATTTCGCGGTTTTTCAACCGATTATTCGACGACCAAGCGTTGCCGGGACGGGTGCCGTCGATCAAGTGGTCGACGAACGCGTTGGACGCTTGTCCTGTCCTGAATGGACAACGGGCGGCCGGACAATTCAGGTCGAACATGCACGGTTGGCCATGTTGATTTCCGTCCTCGTTAAACTCGCCACTGCGAGCCGACCAACCAGTTTTCATGTCTTTGTATAAGGCTGTTAACTTTTCCATCATTGTCATAACGCAGTTGGCCTGTTTCATTTCCGAGACACAATTGCTGCTGGGATCTGCAGCACACGAAAATGTAATAGTACTTGTTATTAGATGTACTGAGACAGATCTGAGGAGGGCGAAATGGGCGAATACTGTCCCCAGATACTTCATTTTTTGAGTTTATTGTTTCTGATGGTTTGGAAGTTTTTCGAAAAAAAAACCAGTTACCTACGACTAGCACGGCGTGCACCTAGCCTCTACACGCGTTTGATGCTCGACAAAAGTGATGGTCGTGTATTAACTATTGACTGTAGGTATATTAAAATAATGTTATTTCCACGTTATTATTCATATTTAAAATTTAATGTAAATTATTGAAAACAAATGGGTTGGTTTAATAGTCAAATTGAAACATTGATTAGATAATAATATAATATAATATAATATGACACTTGTTTAATAACTGAATTAATTAATGATAAACCTTTTTTTTCTAGAGTAACTGTATTAAGTAGTTGGTGTGTACTGTGTATTTAGATCTTTAAATCACTTCTGAATCAAAAATCAAGATAATATGTTACTGCAATGTTAGTGAAACATTTAAAATTTAAAATAGTAAAGAGCGCTGCATAAAAAATTGTTTTCAGTTAGTATTTATTGCTGAGTTTAATTGTTAATTTTACTAACCACGAGATCTCTTTAAATATAATTTAATGACAGTTAGAATTTAGCTCAAAATGTTCTGACTCTTTTTAAGCTATTTATAGACATGATCAATTTTCCATATTTTCGAATTTTTTTGGTTTTTTTTTCAATTATTTTAAATAAACCATTTTTTTTTGAGCCAGAAATCTTGAAAACTTTATACTAGAGGTTCTTTGTAAGTTGTTATTAGTGTAATAAAAAAAAACTAACTTAAATCCACAATCCTTTTTTATAAGCTTCCGAAGTTAACATTTTTACAAAATTCGTCAAAATCGTGAAATAAGTAGTAAATTTAATTTTTTCCAAAACATCTAAAAAAATAGATAACCCAGTTTTTTTATATTATAACTAATTTAAAAATATTATTCTTGGATATTTCTACACACAATTACATTTTATAATTCAATATTTACTGCAAAAATTAATTCAAAGTTACCATATTATTGTTATTGAGTAATTAATAATAATTAATAGTAAAATAAATTACTTAATAACATTAATATGATAAAATATACTTAGTAATATAAGGCTGACTGACCGGCTTTGCTCAGTACATTTTTCGTGTATAATGATATAATTGTGTGACACGAGTACACGACACTACCACTACCACTACTACCACTACTACCAATAGTAGTATATTTTATTATCAATTTTAATAATATATTACACTGTATATTTGCCGTTCATTAGAACGCTTTTGCTATGGAAATCTCTCAGTATTTGAAGTATAGCGTGTAGACTGCACAACCAAACTCCTGCGATCTTGAAGAGCCGAAATGTTGTTTTCACCGGTCGACTTGAAATATTAATTTCAAAACGTTAAATGCACGACTGCTTCACGTCCTACTAATCTATATACTATTCACTTTCTTTATCTTGGATTTGCCACTGTCCACCAACACAGGCCACAGCTGATCATAATCTCTTGCCCATAAATGGCAAGTTACAATAAACAAAACAAAAACAAGTACCTACCTACAAGCGAACTTTGGCACGATACTTTAAAATGTTACCACATAGTAGGGCGGTGAGCTATTTTAACACAAGGAGCAAAGATTTTAGTCTACCCAACCACCCAATATTTTATAAAAACATATAAAAAATTGTTTTAAAAAATTTCAGGTTGAACAATATCAGTACCTGGCTTGACTTTAGGTCGTTTGTTCCTACACGAAGTTCTGTGTTTGCACATTTTCTTTGGGTTGAACATTATTCTTTCGGTACAATTCATCGTCGACGCTTGTGTAGAAACGCAGTCGTTTACTGCTTTGTATTGATATTTATTGCTATCCGGTGCACGGTTGAAATGAGTCACCACTAAATCCCCTTGTGAAGTCAAACGGACGAAGACTTCTATAGCGCCAACGGGATTCGGTCGGCCATTATCGTACAACGGCAAAACCTACAAGTGAAACACACACCGTGACTTCCATTAATTAACTTGCAATAATTTTCAATTATTTTTTAATATCATATTATGTAGCTTAATATTTAAGACTTACCTTTATCGTATGAAGATAAATAAGTAGTAATGAAATACAAACTAAGTAATTATGATAGCTCAGAATATACGTTACCCGTTTCAGTTTGCGGGCCCTTTGATCCTGGTTGGGATTCAGTATAAGGTCGACGAACGTCCGATCGAACTCGAGCTTCGTCTGCGCCACATATCGCATTTGCTGTTCGCCAAGCACTCGCCTGTTCACGCTGACGATGGCGCAAAAGTCTCGGGCAGTCCGGCAAAGGTCCGCTGTGCTGACCGTGAACAAGCAAGACTTGCCGTTGGCCATCAGGATTTCACCCCCGCCAACCTTGCCGTCGGCGCAATATCCACCCTCACATATTACCAATTCGACCAGACCCGGAAACCGGAAGCACACACACACCGGACACGTGTTGTGTATCTGGATCTGATCCGTTAACGTCACGCGGTACACGATCACCTCCATCATGAATAGATTATTCCCGGTAACCGACATGTTGCCGTCGCAATTATGCTGATTCTGTTCGTAAGTATAGAGAGTAAGTACTCATGTATTGGTATAGTGCACTGGATTTTTGCTATTAACGCTGACGGTGATATGTGACTAAATTTTGACGGTAATTTTTTGTTCACCACATAATTCGTGTTATTGAATCATTAAATTAAATACAATTTGTTTGTTTGTTGATGTCTACGGATTTTCCATACTTTGCGCCTTGGGTTGCCAAGTGTTATTTTACTCGTTATTGGCTCGGTGGACCAACACGAAATCATTTTTTTAGAAAGTATTGTGTAGCATTAATATAATATTACTATTTAATTTGTTTATACTGGTTTTAAGTCTCTTTAATTATAATTTACAAGATACTCTGAACAGCCAAATAAGAATAGTAAAACGTAACCTATTATAATAAAATTGATTCCACGTCAAAAATTTTTTGAACAATTTTTAGCAACTGATTCTAAGTGAGTCTCGAGGGTGCCTGTTCGGAGAGGGGAAGGTAGTAAGGGATAGCATGTTCCCTCCTAGAAAATAAAAAAATTCTACATATATGCTTTGAATCCGTATACTTATTTCATATTTAATATCATACACGATACTATTGACTTTTGCTAATGCTTATCGCTGAATCAGTGAACTAATCACTTTATGTACGTATTTAATAATAGGTCTTGGAATCTAGTTTCATTTTGACCTCCCCTCTTGAAAATTACCCAATGATCACCCTCTATTCGATTTCAACGTTACTCGATACTCCCAAAGCAACGAAATGGGACTACCTATAAATATATTAACACTTAATGGTCATTAAATTCTTCAATTAGTTACAACTTACATCGGCCCCTATAGCACTGTTTACGTATACCACTTAATCAATGGATACATTAATATTTAGACCAAGGATGACTACCATTATCAACATTAACAGAATTTTCAGGTCTTAGAAATAAAAATCTCAAACCGCATACAAATAACTAATAAGTGGTAACTAGATGACTAAAATGAAAAGTGAAGAGTTTAATCGCGGTTTTTCTTAATACTACTATGTCACAATATAATATCATCAGCAACGTAATCACACTGATATGAACCGTAATAATAATCACGTGAACAGACGAAAGGTAAATTATTTGTCTGTAGACAGTAATATAGTTTCGTCTCATCTTGATTATAATATTATATATTATAATATACGTATACGTATTTTCCAAGACGTCTATAGCGGTCGCATTATTGCAATGTCGTCTCGTCAATCATGTTGAAATAATAATATATGAAGTACAATATATCATGCGTGTATAATAATATAATAATAATTGTTGTCCGATACATCTCAATCGGGGTATTGACATTTACTGCAACTATTTATTATATATAGGTACGCTGCTCCTAGATCAAGACGTCCGCCGTGACGGCATATTATACCATGGTATTGTATTGTATTATATTCAGTCTTCGCATTATATATTTTATATATAACATTATATTATATGTTTAATTATAGCAACGTCTGGAAAATGTACATCGTCACGACTTCGCACTGACGCGTATCGATCAAAATGTGTGCTTCAAGTAACATATCACTTAATATAATATTTACTAACGATTTAAATATTATTAATGTCTGATTCATCGATTTCCAAAACAGCATGTTTAGTGTACTCAAATATAATTACAGTCACAAAACAATTGTCCATCATTAATCCGATAAAATGATCACGAGTGAGTCACAATCCATCGCTACTCCGTTAAGTTGTCAGCGAAAATATAGTATAAAATAATATTATAAATGATTTAAATTTTAAATAATAATATTATGCTGTATCATGTTTTTGGTTGTTTTTTTTTGTCATAATAATTTATTGTACGGCGTAATGCATAGACGATAAACATTTGTACATAACATAACATTCTATCTTATGATCTGGGAGATGATTATATTGAATATTGATATCACAATTATGTGTTTTTTTTATTCAATTTTTAATTTTTAATTTTTGTGTCATCACCTTTTGGAGCATTAAAAGTACTTAAATGTAGAACTCCAATATATTTATTGACATTTTTACCAAATTTTTATATTAGTAATTTCTATATAATATGATATAATTAAAAAAATTATTTTGCAATTACATTTTCTCTGGGTCAAAAAACTTGAAAATTGAAAGAATCATTGAAATGAATTGAATATTGAATTTTTATAGCTAAGGCTTGATAATTGAATTACAAAATTTATCATATTTAGTATATTTTGAAATGTATAAGTTTATGAGCAGAGCAATAACCTTTTGCCCACATATTTTTTAACTTGATCTTTTTTCTAGGACTAACTGGGCCCTAGCTGTATCTTAGATAATCTTAGTATAGATAATCTTATAATAATATGCCAATAATTATGTCGAGCCTAAACCTACTGTTATGTTATGCTCTCTTCATTGAAACCTGCTAACGATTTTGCTACAAGATGGAAGTGTATATAAGCCTAACATAGTTAAGCACGTGATGTAGATAGTGCCTACATAACATAGGTGAATATAGGAGTATTATAGCGTTTACATTCATGATTACACAGTCGTTCGTTTACGAGCTATACTAATACAGTAATACGTATTATGTATATCATATTATATTCGTATAGTATCTACATAATATGCAAATACCTATCTGTTTTCACTATCTAGATCCGTTAGGCGTTATGTATAAAATGGTCTGCATGCAGACATCACGAACAATTGTTGAATTACCATTTTTAATTTAAGTTTAGTTTAATACGTATCGTTTTTTTATAAGTACAAACGCAAAATAATCCCCGCATGAATGTATGGAAATTTGACAGTATGTATGGTATTTTTAGTTTAATTATTGTTCTTACAGCGCATTATTTCCAAAAGGATTATGCCTATAGATAATCGCAAGTCGTTTTACTGTGTGTCTGTAACTGATAATCGTGTACAACTACATATTATATTTTTAGTAGACAATATACTAGCTGTCTCTTAATAATTAGTTTGCTACCTACCTATATGTCCTATATATAAAATAATTGTGGAGGTTGATAAAGTTTCAAGTATATAACATTAAGTGAAACATTGATTTAAAACAATTATCATTGTGTAAATAAATACCTGTTAATAGTACTTAATACGTTGTTAAGCACATTGTTGTGTAATAAATTACAAGATTGAACAACTGATGAAAAAAACAAAAAAATTACTATCAAAACCACTAGGCCTACACTTTTGTGAACTACACAGCAAAATCATCAAGTCTATATAATTTAACTTGGACAAATTGACATTATAACGATAGGTATGTAGTAGGTACTCGAGTTTGTCTCGTATTGAACCTAACTATTGCACGATGTAAAGATTATAAATTATAGCAGTTGATTAGTTGAATTTGTATTGAAATTACAAATTTAAAAACATACCTAGGTACCTACATTATCAAATTACAATATTATACATTTATACATAGGAATTCATTTGCAGATAAAATCAATACAATTATTACTATCGTTCAAATATTTATTAGTATTTATATTATGTTAAAAAAATATGTATAGGCTTATAAAAATTAAAAATGTTTAACATGGAGCTCATCGTACCTATTGGACTATATACAAGATTTGATGAATTGCAAATAAATAGTCTAATATAGTGTAATAATTTTAAAAATATATTACCATTTTATAAACTGAAAAATTTAAATAACTGTAAACAATTTTAAAAAAAACTGTTAATCTTGGTCAAAAAATTACAATCATAAAAATATCATTGAAAAAAAGATAGGTATTTAATCCGGTGTAGGTATATCACCATCTAATCCATATTATAGAGTTGACATTTTTAACGGGCAACGAAGTGCACAGGAGATCAGCTAGTCATATTATAATAATTACCTTGACTTTTAATACACATTTCATTGAAACTCAGAAACTTGAAATCTCGTAGGTATGTCTTTGGTAAAGTACAAATGTATCAGTCTATCCCACATTCCCTGTATCACCCCGAGCTTTTCCAATATAAGTATATACCCAACGCGTATACCTGATGATTAATTAAAAAATAAAAAAAAATCTCGAGTAAAATCAAACAATTATTTAAAGGCTGCCATTTTACACACATATAGCGGTTACTTCCAGAATACCCTCAACAGTCAACAGCCTCTGGACGATCGGACACCGTCTTTACCCAGATTAAACTATATGTGTAAAATTATAACTGTAATACTGCAATATTACAATAATATCATTCTTATCCTGTAGTTTTGTAATTTCAGTCGGAAAACGCCGTCGACAGTAAAATGATGTACATTTCGAAGAAGCAAAAAAAACGAGCTTTGTAATTATTTTTCGTATATTTTTAAAGATACAACACTATTCAAGTCAGATGGAGCTATACGGTCGTTAACACACTGCGCACAACCGCATTCGTCATAGTTTGGTTTCCTGAGACACCAGCTCGTACGTATCGGTCTTGTTGTGGCATGTCACGCCGTTCTTAACCGTCTCCGCCATGTACTTGGGATACACAAAGTTCCGTATACAGGGCGTCAACAGTCTGGGGTCTATGTTCTGGTCCGTGGGGAACAACAGGCTGACGGCGAGTCCGACGGCGATCCCGACCACAGTGCCGATGGTACTGTAGTGCATGTATGAAACCGTATAAATTGTCGGCACGTTGGGACTTGCATACACTTCTTCGTTCAACCGGATTAACCTATCATAAATACGATTCAGGTCATGAATGAGTACGGTATACGGGGATTTTTCAAGTGCATCCTAAAATTACACCAGGTTGATGCTCCAAGTGCGTCCGCAAAAAAAAATGTACGACCAGCAGTAGGTATGCGTCTCAAACCAAAATTATTTTTACACTGCATAACCCGTGGGTGTCCCAGGTAAAATGAACTGCATTCCTCAAGGTGCAATATGAAGTGGATTACATCCTGACATTTTGTTTCTATGATTTTTGTTTTTAAAGCATTAAGTATATTATTTTCAATAGTTATCGAAAATTACATCACATATTTTGTTTTTAATTAGTTTTTAAATCACATATACGTGAAATCAATTATCTGTGTTGGGAATTTTACGACATATTCTCAATGAATGTAATTTTTTTCTGATTTACCGATCCAAATTATTTAAGTATTCACTAAGAAGTATCAGCGATAACACTGTGGAGTCACTTAGGCAATTCAAAAGACACAATTTTGAAAACGAGACGCACTCCAATTATACGACTCGCGTAATACGTTGAACCACATGTACGAAACATTAGTTGTACATAGATCTATCGTATTGTATAATTCTACCATAATAGGTCATCGACTGTATGTCTAACTGTCTGTTTTAATAATATGTATTTAGTATTTACCCCGAAAAATCTGTATGATTACTGAACGTTGTGTTGGCCGGACATCCAGCTATCGAAACGTCCAGTTCGACGAACTTCAATTCCTTGTTGTATATGGCAAACTGAGCTCCAGCAACTATCCAAGCCATGACAGCTAAGCTAGTTAACATCCCATACATCGCTCCCTGCAGTATACACGAATGTAATTTATATGACGTGTTTAAATAATTGTGTTCAGCCATACTAGCGTATTCTATTGAGCGTGAAAGAAGTAAATCTTACTACAGTATTACTTAGATTTAAATTTTGTAATTTTAAATAACTCGGAATCAGCTAGGCGTTAACATTTTAAGCAGACTTACTCTGGAGTTTGCCCACGGAAAACAAACCCCCAACGTGAATACTGTCAATAATGCTCCATGAGTCACTCCGCCCAGACTAATTGACATCTATAATACACGGGTTATTAAACATATTTTTTTAACAATGCAATCAGCAGTGATTCTATTTAAGACTTATACTTGAAGGATTCCGTTCAATTTTTCGACCGCAAACACCAATAACACGCATATTATACCGCTGATCACTGCGATACACTTCATGATAATGCTGGCCGTCAAATCGGACACTTTTATGCCCATCATTTTCACTATGAAATCTTCGTAAATCGTACCGGAAACAGTGTTAATCTGCGCTGACATTGTACTAGGTATAGAATTTAAGTGTTATGTAGTTTAGCGCGTAATAAATCAGAATACGCCAACAATTAATTGCATACAGCTAATAGCTTTAAGCACCCCGTATTTTCGGATGTAGCACAAATACCTACTCGCGTTTACCTTTTTTTTAAAAATTTATGATGATTGTGCATCAATGTTAGAAATGTTTCATCAAAAAATAAATGTATAATTCATAATTTTTCTGATCGCTAATAGTACAGCCATCCTACAAGGGACTACCTACTGCCCCAGGACTCTGGGTTCTCCATACATTTTACAAGTATCAAATAAAACCTTTTTTATTAATTAATTAATTTATGTTTTGCCATGTAGGTAGCTGGTGTGTATATAGTCAAGCAAAATTATTTTTTTTTTTAAGAATTTTATATTGTTAAACGGTAGTTGTAGACTTGTAATATACAGTGCCCACCATAATTTTTGACGAATTAAACAATTCTAATATTCGTGCACGATCGTGTGAAGTGCGCTCTCATGCTATACCACCCGTGGGTCATTTTATGGTTAAATCATATATATATATTACAGTTCTGTTCGGCGGTGAAACGAATTTTTATTTTACAAACAAAACCCTTCTTTATTTTGCCATACAAATCTATGAGCAAATTACTTTTTTTTATAATTTTGATGTAACGATATATTTCCGAGTGATCAATAATTGTATATTACCATAATTCATAACCATATTTATATATGTATTTTAAACATAGGAGTGGTCTGCGTTCTTGCTCGCTCTAATCTGCACTAACCTCCTAGATTTCACCAACCTCCTGGGATGTTTTTCATAACTGTCTTTTTGGTATCTACATTCTACATATTATCAATATCTACATATCTAAGTCTTTTTGAACATATATTTTTTGGTTGTTATGAGGCACTATTATATTTTATCACTCAAGAAAACCAAAAAAATACTTCATATAATTGAGGGATTTTACATTCAAATACTCAATAGACTCGAAATATAAATATAAAAAAAGAGGTTCTTGCTTAGAAAACAAAAGTTCGTACTACCACAGTGCAGTCAGCAAATAAATATTAAGATTTCAAAATATTTCTTATTTTCTTGTATAAGTATAAATTATTTCAACAAGCCTAAAAATTCACATCTTGAAGACTAGAACGAATAGACCATTTAAGCATAAAAATGGGCTGAGAATATTTAAAAATCACACCATAGATATATTAAGTAGGTATAAATAATGTACATAATATTATGTATACCTCAAGGCAGCACTAACAATACCGGAAACGAATAGGCCGGTGAGTCCTGGAAATTTCGCAGCCACGTCCATTACATAGTACGGCACTAATTTTCTATCGTTGTCTATGAACTGAAATCATCAATTCAATAATTAATAATCAATCATACACACCATAATAATATAAGAGGCAAGCATCGTTATAAGTTATAACGTCATGTCGATGCGCCGTAATGAAAGAACTGACATTAGCCATCAAGGGGTCGCAGTCTTTGTATTTGGTGTAGATCAACATTCCTATGGCACCGGTCAAGATTTTAACGATGCAAATACCCAAAACAAACCAAACCGCAGCTTTTCGAGCCTTTCCATGCGTGGGCAATGCTACAAAACGTTGAACTGCTCCCGGATGAATGCCCAGTGCTGAGAGCCACTGAAACGTAGTACCTATGGTGACGGTCCAAAAAGTGTTTCTCAAAAACGGATTTGGGTCCATCCTAAGTGAAATACAATTTAAAATCAGTCCTATATGTAAATCTGATCACGGCCGCTTTAAAAATAATGCGATGGGGACAAAAAAAAAAACCAAAAATCAAATAATACACAGCTTATAAATACCGTTCGGTTTTTCTAATCACGAATATTTCTTACGCCAAGAATACAAAGGTAAGCGTTAAATTGCTGTTATATACCTATTTTAACCGCATGAATCAATATTTAAAATGAAATAATATAATTAAAAACAGTTTAGTATAAATACTTAAAAAATTCTATTCGGCCCCCTTCTTGGTTGGCTTTGATTACGTTTCCGATTCCTCCGACTTGCATAACTCCCAAGATGATCACAATCAGGATTGAAACAGCTGTGAAAAGACTTTGGATAGCATCTGTCCACACTACTGCCTTCAGTCCGCCCTAATATTTTCAATATAACGGTTAGAACAGCAAGTTTAAATTCTAACGATTGCATTAATATTTATAATAATAGTAGTTAGAAATAAGTATTAAACTTACGATGGTGGTATAAAATATACAAATGACGCAAATGATCAAGGTTATTAAATGTACATCAAGTCCTGTCACTGTTAATGCAAAAACAATGGTTATTGTTGATATCCATACGTAATTCAATTCAATTATGCACTTAAACGTTGAGTAAAACTTAAGAAGATGTCAGCAAATACAAAATATTGTTGTCTCTACTTTAAAAAAATATGAATTTCTTGTTTTTTACCAAACTGTTCAAAGTAAGTAAGTAAACATAAGTTCATAACCTATTTCAAAATGTACTACCTTGTAAAGTGAATTATAAGCTCTGTATCGTGCTTTGTATCATTTGTTTTCATGTAAGAAACTTAATCCATTAGTGTTAAGTTTTTACTTATTATTAACTTCAATAAGTATTGGTCATAAATTATTTTTAAAAAAAATTTTTAATTTAAAAACAATAGGTACCTATTTATTATAATAGCTCATGTTTATAAACTTATTTAAACAGTTTAGCCATATACTGATTAAAACGTCATGAGACATGAGTACCATTTAAAAGACAGAGACTGTAAATACTAAATGTTATACGCTGACATAATGACATCGCCTGACGTCTATTAATCTTTTAATAGGTGTATGTATAATTTATTTGGTCTGAAAATGTTTTTTAATATACTTTACTTACCCTGATTGAACGCTAATGCTGGTATGTAAATTACAACAGGGATGTACAATATTAGGTGCACGGCGAAGATGAGCGACGACAATCCGCGGATGTTGGAATTAAATCGTAATCCCAAATACTAAAATTGAAATTAAATTTAAATAAATCCATGAACTTGATGGATGTATATGTTAATAAGATTTTATATCTTATAATAACTATAACAATTAATAACAAAAAACATTCACCTCATATACTGATGTCAACTGAAGATCGTAAAAAACGGGTAAATAAATGAATACGACCAAGAAGATGACCACTACAGTGTTAACCACACCGACAATTAAGTATTGTGTTCCATTGCTATATATCTCAGACGGAACTCCGAGCAGCGTTATGCCAGAAATGTGACTAAAATATGCAAGTATTGATGATCTTATTTTTTTCTATTTTTAACCATACGAAATTTAATTATTTACCTAACTATACTTATATTACATACTTTAGGTAGTACCTATTTATTGTTCAATATTTTTTTTTATAAAAGTAATGGTATTTTTTTATACTTATTAGTTATTTGTCAGTAGGTTATAGGTCTGGTAATTTTAATATGAGTTTACGTTCAAATCACAACATAAATACATTATATTATTCGAGTAAAAAAGCATCAAATTTACTTTAAGATATTGCGTTAATTTAATAAATAATAATATATTTGATGATGCATACATTTAATTGTAACTATTGGCTTTTACGCCCGATGTAATTAAGAACAATAAAAAACAAAATTATATATTCTTATAAATAAGTAAAAATCGTGTAATAATAACATGCAGAGCAGCTAGGATTAAGATGATGTCAGAGCACTGTTTGTTGTCTTTCTTTAGCCCACGCGCAATGTAGAAAAAAACGCATTTAGGTAGAATAATGTTTTGTATGATTTTGAGTAATGAGGAAATCACCCATTACAATAACGATAGAGAATAATATTTAAAAGGTATGACCTATTGATTTGTCTAAATATTGTCTTAAAATTTTATACATCATTTTAATTTACAAAACTTTTTTTTATTATGAAAGTTGAATACTAAGTCAAACAATAATAAAATATAAAACCTATATACGTCATGCCCTTAAAATATTATCCTAAACATTTTTTGTAATTAGTGATTTTAATATATTACTCAAAGATCATAAAAAACGATTTTATGTGAAGCCGTTTTGTCCATGCATGTTGTGCTTGGGTCAGAGAGAGTACACAAATATTGTGCTGACATACTCTTAAGACGGAGTATTTACTTCGGTCAAAAAATGTTTAGCGACATTCGCCCCATCCCCATCACTACCAATGCTCGCTAACCGACCTAATCCAATATACATTTTTTTAAAAAAAATCTTTTTTGCACAAAAATCTCGGCCACATTATTATTTACGAATAACATTACGGTATATAATAATACAATAGGTATATAGCTAGGTATAGGTTAGGTTAGCTTAGGTTTGCGATCGCAATAATAATGTTATATACCTAGCGACCAGCGACATGGTGATCGGAAAGACGGACATGTGCTTGCCGCCCAACAGGTAATCGTTGACGGTGTTCTGTTTGGAGATGCACCCATAGTATAGACCAATGACGACGGACAGTCCGAGCATGATGACGAACGCAGCGTATTCCGCCATCCAGTTCAACTGTTCCATGGCGGTGGCGTCACGGACTTCCGGTCTCTGGGATATAATATACGATACACGAAATCGGGCGGGCGGGTGGACTTTATGCACCGGAAACGCGACACGTCCGTACAACAATGTATCGTTATTATTATTTCGACACTATATAGGTGCCGCCGTTGTGGACGCACGTCTTGTTATGCGAAAGCTCTCGTCCCGCCTTGCCCGAACATCTTCGTGTCATCGTAATCTTTGCACTCGCCGATTGGTCTGTCGCGACGCCAGCGCGAACTGTGCTGCATACGGCGCGGTCGCCGTCACTGTTTGCCGTGCAACAATATTTACCGTCGAAAAATATTATGTAACAACGTTGACGCGCAGATAGAGCCCCCTTCTTATTTTAGTAGAATTTAATCCTCGTCAATTTGAAGGGTTTACGATATTTATGATTCGTGATAATTGATAACCGAGAAGTTCAGTAAATATTTATCGAGATATCGATGAAACGATAACCATATACTTCTATCATAAGCAAATAACGTTAACTGTTCTAAAGGTATAGATCATGTACCAAATGTAATAAGGTAAAATTTTTTTTTTAAATTTTTATAGTTTTGAATTTATGTTTAAAACTGAAAATCTTATAAAATAAAAGATATTTCAACATTGTTGTACTAACATTACAATATATAGTATGCACAGTGGTGCATATTGCAAAATTCTCAAGGAGGAGAGGTTTCAATCACGTAATGTTTTGTATTAATAAGTAAAGTAAAACTCTGTACAAGAGAGGAAGTCGGGAGAAATGTACTAAGTATGTATATAAGTATATACAGTATATACTTACTTCACTCGTGTATTGTTTGTGGGGGCTTGTTAAGATTTTGGGAGTTAAACTAACCTCCCCGCCCAAGCATTCCGCCTATTTGAGACACTGCAGTATAAGATACAATAACTACACGTTTACCCGTTTTCTCTTTCTGGGTACAGTTATTATTCCATAGGTGCAACAGTTACAGTTCAATAATGTATATACCTACTATGTCAGTTAATTTCTTTTTTTTGAGCATTCTACGTTTTTAATTTTAAGATGTACCTACTACATTTATCCATCCATACATATCTAATGCTTCCCACCTGTATAAATCAGCCATCAGGCAATTTTGTCAAATCAGACAATGATGTGGATAAGACAAATCCCCTCGTCAATTCAATGTTAACTTTACGTACCTCGGTACCTGTATGAACAGTAAGTGGTTCGTAAATAATGCAAGTGGCAACAGATGATGTCGATACACAAGTACTAAATTCATACTGCTGGTAAATTAACTATAAATTCTTCATCAAACATTTGTAATCATTAATTATTAGCGCAAACTATAAATATAGACAACTATATTAAACTAGAATAGAAACTAGAATAGGTACTCGTATAAACTATATCAATTAAATACTTGACGGTAAGTGTGACTGTGTTATATTGTGTTCACTAAGAGTTTCTTTTTTTTTTATTTACAAACATAAATAATAGGTACGCGTTGATAACCGATTTATTTGTTTAAAGGTACCTATTACGAAAACAATATCATTATTCACTATAAATTATGTATAATTTTACTATAATATCATAAAGTGTACGTATAGGTAAAATAAAGTAAATATAGAGTACCCACTTATTAAGCAATTAACATAAATCATAATTTATCTAGGCTGCAACCACTCGTCAAAGGTAGATCACACAATACGCTGTGGCCCTTTATCTATTATGTTCTGTCATAACGGCTTTCTTAACATTTTTTTATTTTATATAATCGTATACAAAAAAAACAAAATATTAACTTTCCTAACTAACTTTGAACATTGGTAATAATAATATAAATCAAACAATAACAACATTCTAGTCGCTAAAAATATTAGGAATATAATCACACACCTTCGTCCGTGAAGCATTTATACTATACCTTTGTATTGATAATTCATGAGCGTGCTAAAGTCTGTATCCTGTAGGTGCCTAATTAAAATGTGTTACATAAATTACTCGTTTAAAGTTCTTTGAAGTTCGATGTAACAAACTCTAATGGTCTAATGTGTTCGATAACGCAAACGTAATATTATTATGCTATACGTACGTAACCTAAAATAATTGACCCAAAATCATCAGTTCACTTTAATGATTTGTCGCATAAAGATGGAATCGATTCCGCCAGAGGCGAGATAATCCGTCCTATTAAGGGAAGAAGTATACTATGGTTGGGTCCTGTCGTCCTGAGATAAAAATTCTACGTTAATTGAGTCCTAGAATTCGTAGCCCATATAGGCAATACTTTTACTAGCCCATAATTTGGAACCTCATCAATTTAGGTAGTATATAGGTACACTAGTTCTGTTCACAACAACTGTTGTACATACTGTACACACAATACTGGAACTTATGATAACTATAGGCTGTTGATATGCATTCCGACAGATCATAAACTTATTCGAAACTAGCACGATCATATTCCCAAAATGTCTTTAGCAGTATCAAATCGTCACTGTATCTTGAACGAGTGCATTATTTTGTGAAATACCTGTATAAGTTAATATATCAAAAATTAATTGAGTAAAATTATTTAAAAATTCTCTAATACTCAAACTGATATTTTAGGCAAAGCCTTCTAAATTTTTACATATTGAATTAAACATTTATACAAATATCTACTTTTAAATGAAGTTGTATAATGTATAGGGTATAGTATATACGTACATAACATTTAAATTTAGAGTCAAGCCAATAAGAACATATTTTACTAACCAATAGTTTACAATATTCGTGATAACATGATTATTAATTGTATTGTGTACAATTTATATTTTTGTAAACATTCGATATACTATTATAGTTTACTACTCATCTGTAAAAAACCAAAATATTTGGGTTAAAACACTTTTAAAAATGATTTTGAATAAATACTCTAATACTTCATTGAGTTCATTGTAATAGTATTCTGAATAAAAACAAGTATACTTTAAAAGTACTCCAAACTTTTTAAATATTTTGTTTGTTTTAGATAACATAGTAATATTATATAATATGATACTTGTCTTTTGGAAAATTTGAAATTATATAACCAACGTTAAAATATATTGTATTTGGGTGTAATATGCTTGTGATAATTTATGATACACAACATACCAATACATATTAAAAAATTAATTTGAATACTATAAAAATACAATTTTATAAACAATCAAACAGTATTCTAAAATTATTTAGAATACTACCCTCAAGTCTAAAAACTCGCCCTACGGCCTACACAGTAACCCAATGATAATTCTATTCGATCACGACACTTGTTTGCGGAATTTGTTCAAACTCGTTTGATTCTGCGGCGTATTCGATAGGAAAAAATTTATCTTGTCAGCGACATAACTATACCTTCGAGATCTCAGCGAAAATACGCGTCATACACCGAGAATCGCACGCTGTATACGTCCGCGATTCATTTGTACCGACCGTACGTGAATTAATAATTCTAATGTATAAATATATAATAATGATATTGCAGTTCGCTCATACAGCCGTACAGTCGAGACGCTGAAATAAATTTAAAAAAAAAAACCTTTTAAACTTAATACATAAATGTGTTTTGAGAGGAAACGTCGTAATTGGTTAAAGGCCGTGTTTGAACGCCGTTCGTTTGACTTCGCCGGACGCCCGATTAAATTGTAGAGTCCAATAATAATGTAAGTATATGATAAACACATAGGACATATTATACGTTATGCACTCATACATAATATAATACCACGTAGGTACATTGTTATTTAATTTTTTTATCCTGCAACCGGTTTCTCGATGGCTTGTACATGCCCGTCACCTTGTGGACAATAAACGGGAGCTGAAGCTACATACGATTAAGTACCAATGTTTACATAAAATTATAAATACAAAGATGCTAATAATAGTGTAACACAATCGGTATTTGAAATAAAGCTTTTCAACTTTGAGAGTAGTTTTTAATAGCAAATTGGATCTAGTCGGTACTTTCGAGAAGTCATAAATTAAAATTTCCTGTATTTTTTAAAAACATTCGGTTAACTCTAAATAGAAAGTCGGGAGAGTGCAGGGTATCACTCTGCTGTACATTTTAACTGCAATAAGTTAGTTACGGCCCGACAATATTTTAGCTGTGAGTTGCGACCCAAGTAATTATCATTACCTATGTACCTATGCGGCTATGCCCATGCGCCTTGCAGATGTGGTAATGACGGTATTTGGACTTTTCCCCCCGTGCCACCCCAATTTTAGCGGTACTTGACATTCCCCCCCCCGGACAGAGACATTTCCCACCTGAATCAATATATATTATATATTTTTACACATTAATCGGATAAATATAATAGGTTGGAAAATACTAAAATAGGTTCTTTGGTTTTACCCAAAATATATAATCATCATATCTATTGACTATTAACATTCACTTTTTTATTGAAGCTCTACATTTGAGTAAATTTTTTGGTTTGTGTGAGTTATATTACCAAAATAAAAAAAATATTATTTAGGCTTTTTTATTTGTATTATTTAATTTTGTATTTTAATGTCAACAGTGTTAATATGACGGTATTATTCCGGGAGATATCTTACCAGAATAAAAAGTAAAAGTTACGTTTTGTTTTATTTGTATTATTTAATTATATCATATTTATAAAAGTATTTATAATTTGTACTAGTATGTCTAATATTTTTAATATTTATATAATTAGTGAATTTTGTATTGGCATTTGGCAAATTTTTGTTTTTGGTCCTGGGGGATTTTGTCCTATTCAGGAGGGGGACGTCCGCTGCATCGGGGCGAAAAGTCACAGGGGGGGGGGGGACGTCCTGGATTCGGTGATGACTGATGTCTATACATAGCGATTAACGATAAACGAAAATGTTCTAATGTTCTATACACAGATTACAGGTATATTATTTAATAATTAGATAGCCAACTCCCAACTCCATACACAACGGTATTATTGAATTATGATGCCCCGAGCCCCGACGC